TCATGCGAACATCGTGAACATCATGTAAACCTCATGCGAACATCGTGAACATCATGTGAACATCATGTGAACAGCTAGTTCTGGCTGTCAGCAGCAAACTGCTTCATCCACTATGAGAAGGTGTTATTTATAAGACTGAGTTTGTTGCAGCTCCTCAGACTGAAGAAATATTTTAGACTAAAGAGACTAAATTAGATTTGAGGTACGATGAATATGCTTTATTTTCCTTTTGCAAAAACAAACAATAAAGCGTGTGTGTGGGGGGAGGTTACTATCTAGTACTACAAATATACAAGAAGTAACATGATGGGAGCATTTGCAGTTGAATGTGGTTGTCAACAGCTAGATGATAATAATAATGATTAATAATAATATATATAATATATATAAGAGTCGTCCAGTAGTGGACGTTAAAGCTTCCAGTCATATTGGATCCTGTGCAGAGCCTCCGTCCCCAGGAGGACTCAAGTTCTACGTTTTCTCAGTATGGGTCCTTCAGGGGTCGTGTAGAACTGGTACTGACCCAACATTTGAGCAAAGGGCTGATTATGACGATCCAAGCGCAGCAAGAATGCAAACAAGAGTAAGATAAAGTCTTGAACATTTTATTAACGCATCTGTCCATTTCTTCACATCTGTGATGAACGCCTCGCCCGTTTCATGTTCTCGTTTAGTGTCTAAGGCACGTTCAAAGAAACATCCTGTTGAGCGTTTGAGCAGAAGAAACAAAGTTTAAAACGAAGGAGAACCCCGACAGGAAGTTTTCAGCTTGTTCGGCTGCTGAGAGCTAAAACTGATCAAGGGTTCAAGAGGAAACTAAAAAATATGTTTAGACGATGACTGAGCTCGATGACATCTGCAGGTCTGAAGCGTCAGGGTCAGACTTGTAAAATCATGACACATTACCCATAATTCATTTGATGGTAAACCAGAAAATCCCAAGTTTTATTTTTAAATCAACTTTTTTAGTTTTGTGAAGTTTTGCTTCTCGTTCTGGGAGTTTCAAGCTTTAAAACTGCAGTGAGTTCTGTTCACCGCAGCTGAACTCCCATGCAAATCACTGTTCCTTCCCTCACTTCTGAGGATTCTTAGGGCCTTTGTTGTCCTGGTCCACATGAGTTGATGTGAACTGGAGTGAAACAGATTATAGAGATTATTAGATTAGATCATAAAACTTGTTGAAAGATGACGGGACACATCGTCCTCGTGACACTGATGGCGTGTCTCAAACGTGTCTCTGTCCAAAACATCAGGGTTATTTCAGGGCTGGTTTTGAGGACATACGTCAAGAGGGAGAGGTAGGACAATGATTTCCATGTGAGTCCAACTCTTTAAAATGGAGAAACCATAGATAACGTGTTGTAATACTGGACGGCATACAGGGTTTGAGAAGTTGAAGCCTGGAGGGGACAAGTGTCTCTAAAGACTGGTCTGGCAGGCAGGACGTAGCCCCCCGTCCACCCCCACAGACTCTGCTTCCAAATATAGGAAATGACATCTTCTGTAAACTGAGCTCTGCTGCTCTGAAGTCCCAACAACAAAGAAAGGCCGGGACAGTTCCAGAGAAACTCACCGCAGCTGTAAAACTTCAGATTCTGCATCTGATCTGAAAATGTCCTCCGAGAACCAGCAAAACACAAAAACCTCTGGGTGTTCGACTGGTCCTGACCAGAGGAGCAGACTGGTCCTGACAAGAGGAGCAGACTGGTCCTGACCAGAGCAGCAGACTGGTCCTGACCAGAGGAGCAGACTGGTCCTGCCCAGAGGAGCAGACTGGTCCTGACAAGAGGAGCAGACTGGTCCTGACCAGAGCAGCAGACTGGTCCTGCCCAGAGCAGCAGACTGGTCCTGCCCAGAGCAGCAGACTGGTCCTGACCAGAGGAGCAGACTGGTTTCAGTTGTGAGTCCACGGCTCCATCTGCTGATCAAATGAAGCTTCAGCAGCTGCAGCAGAACCACTCTGGTCCTAAATGTCTCCAGATGTTTGTCTTGTTTCATTTGTTTAATGACTGGACTCCTCCGTCATGCTGGTCAAAGAAAAATAAAGAAAAGAATTCAGGTGAAGTTAAAGCAGCGGGTTTATAAGGATCTCACCAACATTCTGCGGAGCAGTGAAGGTTTGAAACAAAAAGCCTTCAAATGAACTGATGATACAAAATGAGGCTGAGAACAAACAGAGACGCACGAGGACAAATGTCCACGAGCAGGTTCCATATAAACAAAACAGTTTGAACTCCCAGTTAGTGTCGTCTTGAGATGAGGTGTGTTCCAGTTCCAGCAGGTTCTTCTGTGCAGCTCTGAGCATGTTCTCCAGCATCTTTTCTTCAGCTCAGGACCTCAGGAGTCAGGATCCTTTAAAGAGCTCGTCCTGCTTCTCGGTGGAGGACGACCGAAAACCTCCACGAGCTTCAGAGTCTCAGTAGAACCCGAGCTGCTCGCGCCTCCATTAAAGGATGAGATGAAACTGAAAATCAAACTCCTGCTTTTTTCACAGTAAGAACTTTTCATCTGTGAAGAACATGAAGGAACAGATGTGGTTCTGTTAGTCTGAAGCCTGCGAGGACCGAGGCTCCTGGATTTACAAGAACCTGCAGACTCTGATGACGGGGCGGGGCCGATCGACGAACCAGGCTAGAAGTTCACTGGAGGACAGTAAGGCAGACGTGTCTCTGTGGGACCAGAGCATTTTCTTGGTGGGGGGGGGGTCCCTGCAGTGTTAGCAAACACAAAGAACCATGGCAGAAGTGACAAACGTTTATATCGACTCTAAACTTGTGATTGGTCAGTGGTTTAACGTGACTGTGGGGGCGCAGCGAGGAACAATCTGTCCAGGGGTGTTAAGGAGGAAGGGGCGGGGCTTGGGGGCGTGTCCTGGTGTTTACTCCACTGTAGAGCTCTGGGTATCGTTGAAGTCGTTGGCGCGGCTCTCAGCATCGTCATCGGACATGTCGCCGGAGGCTCCGTCCAGGATGAGGTTGCGTCGGCCCGAGCGGCTGGAGGAGAAGCTGCTGGCTGGACCGCCCCGCCTGCTCCAAACACACGGCACAAACATCTTCAACGTTTAGTTAAACTTTCATTTATTAAGAGATGAGCTAACCCTGAAGACGTGAGGACAGGCAGGAACCTGCAGCGTACCTCAGGCGGTTCTTGAGGGAGTTGACCTCTCTGGTAAGACCCTCGCTGGCTTCGGTGGCATCGTCCAGCTCCCTCTGCAGCTTCCTGCGGGAGGCGTTGGCTCTGGTTGCCTCCTCCTCCGCCTCCTCCAGCTGACGCTTCAGCTGCTTCATGCGAGAGTTGGCTTTCTCCAGCTGACAGGACAGGCGTGTGAGGAAACGCACGGACACGAGGCGAGGTCACGGTGAACGTACAGAGTCAAACGGACTCCTTACCTGTTCCTTGTACTGGTCGGCATGACGACGCTCATCCTCCACCTGCAGCGTCACCTCCTTCAGCTTCTTCTCTGTACGGCGGACAATTTTGTTGGCTCCTGCTCTCTCTCTGGGGGTTTCAGATGAGTAAGAGTCACATCATTTGTTCTTCTGATCAAAGCTCTGAGGAAGTTTAAAGTCATACTTTGCTTCCTGCTCCAGCTGCTCCTCCAGCTGAAGGAGCTTGGCCTCCAGGGCAGTGATGGACGCCTTAAACTTGGACTTGACGGCTCCTTCCAGCTCTGCAAGCTTCGCCTTCAGTTCCTGCATCAAACACATGAATGTATGAGCTGTGATTTATACCGTTTGTTAAAAAACATCAGTAAATATATAGAAACACTCTGTTCAGTCATGATCAAAGTACTTTGTCATAAAGTTAAACAGCATCAGATAAACAACAGAACACAGAGGAACTATTTAAAAACATGAAAGCTGTATGAAAACAATGAAGTTCTATTTCATCTGTCCTGACCACCATGGGGCGGTGCTGAAAGCACTGACTGTTGCCTTCGTGCATGCACCGTTCAGTAGTAATTCCAACGGAGTCACAGGTGTGACACGGATGACCAATCTGACATCATCCGCGGCTCTGCTTCTTTTTTCTTCTCGTGCGCGGTTCATTACACGACATCAGCTCTTTGGACCTCGGATCTTTTCACCGTTGTCGGAGGCCAGACTGCTCGTTGGCTGGAGTTCGTCCTCCTAGGGGCTGCAACGGTTCAGCCTTTGTTCAAGGCATTTCTGATGTTCGTTGGGGACTACGGCGGTTTTCGCCCCCCTCCCAACTTGCAGTGTCTGACTACTGTGTGTGTGATTCAACCAACACAGTCTCAGTCCCTACTCATCATGTACTGACGCTTGGGCAGGTTGAGTCACATGTTGACGCATCGGGAAGCCCCTCGTCATTAATTCCCTTAAGGCGAAACGTTTCAGCACAAAAAAAGAAACTGTCCAGATGACGTGACTGAAAAATGTTGGATTGTATACCTGGATTATTGAGCATGGACTTTGTTGTTTTCAACCAGTTTGACAAGACTGTCAACAAGGAAGAGGGCCGGCAATGGAGGAGGGGCGTACCAAAGAGACCATCTTATCACAAGAAGAACTGGTTTGTTCCACTTTGGAGTAAGCTGTTGGAGGAAGAATCAGTTTTGTTGTGTGTTTCCTTGACTGATGAAGCCTTCTGGATCGAAGGCGAAACGTTTCAGCACCAAAAAAGAAACTGTACAGATGACCTGACTGAAAAATGTTGGAAAATGTATAAATCTTAATAATTTCCATCAGAAGTCAACTGCTTCAAATTTTCAGGGTATATAAAGCATGAATCTGTGAAGCTGTGTGCAGTTTCATGTCCATAGGTGCATGAGAGCATGTACAGTGTGGCCCACAATGTTTTCACTCTCTGGCATTTTGTGGCTCATAGGAAGCACACACAGAGATGAGACAGGGCCTGTTGAATTTGTCTTTAAAAGATCTTTCCAATGGTGTCTGGATTTCTTGTCTACGATCTTATTACGATAAGTTACCAGCACAAATGTACTCATCCATCTTCTCAGCGGAATACCGTATTTTCCAGCGTATAAGGTAGAATACATAAAACAAGCTTCACATTTCAAAGCCTTATAACCTCCTTCAGAAATATGTCAACTGCTTCAAATTTACAGGGTGTGTTAAGCTTGAATACACAAAGGTGCGCGCACAGTTTCACGTCCAATGTTAAGTCTATGGAGGCCGGTGGGTAGATAACTCTACGGCATTTTGAGGGTCGTAGAAAGCTCGCACAGAGATGACCTGTTGGATAGGTATTAACCATACCTTTACAACGGTACCAAGAGCACCTTTCTAGGATGAGAGCTTTCAAGTGAGTCTAATATTGTGCAGCCATAGCTGCAACAGTTGCTTCTCTGAAATAATTGCTGTTGTCCTTCCACCCTGTCATTGTGGTACCACATAGTCTGCTTCAGAGCAGCAAACAGACAAAACTGCTTTCATAGAAGTGAAAATCAGTTAAACTCATTTGATGAGCAGTATTTGGGTTATACAACAAAACTATATGGAACTAGTAAAAATCTCAAAAACATTAAAGTATATTTCTTATGTCCTGATGTACTTGAACTATACACGACCTTGTTTTGCCGCTCCACGTGTTGCCGAGCGTTCTCACTCTTCTGTGAGACGCTGCGTTCTCCCGCCAATTCTGCGTTCAGGCCATCCACCTGGAGAGGACAGAATAAAAAATCGAATTTCATCAGTTTAAAGACATGTTTATGTTTTTAACATGTTGACGTTAACATGTTTATGTTAACATGTTTACGTTAACATAAACATGTTAACGTAAACATGTTAACGTAAACATGTTAAAAAACAAACATGTTAACATGTTTATGTTAACATGCATGCTCCACAGTGAAACCGGTTCGTGACATGAGTGTGGCAGTTCAACCTGCATGCTCGTCTTTTTAAAGCGGTCGTTCAGCAGCTCCATGTTGCCCTGCTCCTCCTCCAGCTCCTCCTCCAGCTGAGCGATACGAGCCTCGAGCCTCCTTTTCTCCTCCAGCAGCGACGACCTAACACACAAACAGTTCTGGTCGTGTTTCCAGTCTGAACCAAGTGGTTTACCAAGTGGTTCTAAACAGAACTCGTCTCGTTTGAACTGGAAGCTTCACTGACTTTCCAGCAGCGCTGTTGGAGATCTCATCAGCCAACTCGTCCCTTTCCTGCTCAGCATGACGCCGGCCTCTCTCTGAAGCTGCGTGCTCCTGCACACACACACACACACACACACAGCCCTCGTATTTCACACACGTCAGTAAACTTGTGGTAACTATAGTCAGCCTGCACCACACCTCCTGAAGCTGTAAGATTTCAGCCTCCAGGCTCTTAAACTTCTTCTCGTTCTCCTTGGACTGGGTGAAGATCTCGTCTCTGGCAGCTCTGGCCTCCTCCAGCTCCCTCTGATAGTCCTTCGTTTGAGCCTAAATCAAATCAAAACGTGTTTTTGTTGTTAAAAGCTGTGCTGGTGTGCTGGTGCGGCGACACACGTGTTACCTGGAGCTTTCGGAGCTGTTTCACGGCTTCATCCCTGCCTTTGTTAGCGGCTTCGATCTGACCCTCCAGCTCGTTCAGGTCCATCTCCAGCTTCTTCTTGGCAGCGACAGACAGAGTTCTCTGCTTCCTCTCGTCCTCCAGCTCAGCCTCCATCTCACGAACCTGAGGTGGAAACACACGACGTAACGTTTAAAAGAAGCCAAACTGGTCTTAGCTCAGACGTTTTGGTGTGATGATCCAGGAGACTCTGTGAACCTGTTTGACGAGCGCCCTCTTCTTCTCCTCTCCCTGCTCATCCCTGGCCTGCAGGTCTCGGTCGAACTGGGCCTTCATGGCCTGCATGTTGACCTCCAGACGCAGCTTGCCATCTTCTGTGGCTTGCAGCTCGTCCTCCAGCTCCTCCAGCTGAACTCTCATCTCTGCCACTTGTTGCTCCAGGGTGCGCTTGGACTTCTCCAACTCATGGACCTGTGAGCAGAGGTGAAGCAAATTAAAGTGCTGCACAGAGTCAACGTAAAAACACGGCTCACACAACATACAATCAAAACAACCAACCATCCATCCATTATCTTTACCCGCTTGTTCCATTTTTGGGTCACGGGGGTCGCCGGTGCCCGTGTCCTGCAATCACTGTGCGAGGGGCGGAGTACACCCTGGATGGGTCGCAAGTCCATCACAGGGCCACAGAGACAAACGAGACAAACAACCATTCACTCTCTCACTCACACCTAAGGACAATTTAGAGTTACCAATCAGCCTAACATGCATGTTTTCGGTCTGTGGGAGGAAATCGGGGTACCCGGAGAAAACCCACGCATGCACGGAGAGAACATGCAAACTCCACCCAGAAAGGCCCCTGGACCGGGGTTTGAACCAAGGACCTGCTCACTGAGAGGCAGCAGCTCTACCAGTTGCTGCCCACAATCAAAGCACGTGTAAGATAAAATTAAGTAATAAAAACGAAAGTTATGTATGTAACTACGGTTCTATGAATCCCTCCTGACCGCCAGAGGGCGGTGCTGAAAGCACTGAATGTTCCCTTTGCGCATGCGCTGTTCGAGTAATAATACCAACGGAGTCACAGGCGTGACACGGCTGACCAATCAGAGACTATATAACCTGACGTCATCTGCAACTCTCCTCCTACAGAATCTTCTTGCGGAATGCAAGGACTCTGAGTGACAGAGAAGCTCTGGCGGTCATCCAGGATTCATAGAACCGTAGTTACATACGTAACTTTTGTTCTATTTCATCCCTCCTGACCGCCAGAGGGCAGTGCTGAAAGTACTGAATGACTAATACCAACAATGTCACAAGGAATCCTGAGCACACACCTCACTGAGGAGGCCCACAGAACCCTTGCAGAAGACCCAGTGGCCACGTTCACTCTATAAAACTGGTGACGTGCTTGGGGAAGCCCATGATGCTGCAGCACATATTGCTTCCTATTGCTTGGGGCGGCTGTAGCTGAGTGGTTAAAGCAGTCGTCCTCCAATGCAAGAGTTGGGGGTTCGAATTCACCAGCAGTCACACGCCGAAGTGTCCATGGGCAAGACACTGAACCCCTCATCGCCTCCGATGTGTGTCCCATCGGTGTATGAATGTGATAAAGCACTGATTAGTCTCTTTAGAATGATTTGTTCAATTAGCTTTGTAGAGATCTAGTAGAGTGCTGTATGAATGGGTAAATGAGGCACAGATTGTAGTGTAAAGCACTTTGAGTATCTCTATAAGATAGAAAGGTGCTATATAAGTACAGTCCATTGCTTCCATCGGAACCCCTCTCGGGGCAGCCCAGGAGGCGAACATGCTCCTGGTAAAATGTGCCTTAACGCCGACCGGTAGAGGGCCGTGCCCTGTGACGTAGGCGTGGCAGATGACATCCACGATCCAGTGGGAGAGGTGCTGTTTAGAAAGAGGATAGCCTAACGTAGGGCCTCTGTAACACACAGACAGCTGGTCTGAACATCGTATAACGGCAGGAACTGCAACGTATGCCTTCAGTGCTCTCACTAGGCACAATAATCCAGACCCCTCACCAGGTGTAGGCTGAAAACATGCCAGCCTCAACGGTTGGTTACAGTTAGAGTGAGATAACACCCTTGGTACAAATATAGTGTTTGGCCACAAGGTAATGTCAGAGCTCTCAGGGCCCCACCTGAGACATGAGGAACTGAGAGAGAGAGCAAGAAGCTCGCAGACCCTCTTGCTGAGGCCATAGCCAAAAAAGGTCGTCTACACGAAAACCACTTGAGGTCCGCCTGCATCAAATGATCATAAAACATTTTTAGTTTTGGACATTTGTTATGATGCGTAACCATGGCAACAAGGCAGCTTCTACAACCAACAGCAGCTGATTGATATCTCAAAAGCTCAAGTAATATCTCAACTACAGCCCTAAATTTCAAATGAGTTGAAAAGGATGTTCTGTGGACGCATTTTCATCTACCTGCCAGCTGTGCTCAAGTGTCTGACCACTGAGATCCTGGAACTAGCAGGAAACACAGCTCATGACAGCGGAAGGACAGGATCGTCCATCAGCACCTACAGTTGGCTGTCCGCAGCGATGAGGAGCTCAACAAGCTGCTGGGAGGAGTGGCCATTGCCCTGGGAGGATTTCTGCCCAACATTCAGGTGATCCTGAAGCCCAGGAGGCCAACCAAGTGCAAGTAAACGGATCAACATCTATGGTCAGTTTCTTCAGATCTGCTATAAGACGGACCATCACAAGAGATGCTTCCCGCCCACAACCATCAACATCTAGAACAACTCTTTTATGAAACAAGGAAAATGAGCTACAACAACATTTAATTTCCCTCTGGGATTAATAAAGTATTTTTGAATTGAATTGAATCAGATTTGAACAGAGGGTGGCAGAGAGCTTCGAGAACCAAGGGCAGATCCCAACCTGGTGCTCGTGGAGCCATCAGCGTGTGCAACCTACGGGCACGACGCAGAAGAAGGGAGACTTGATTATGGCTCCCCACCGTATAGCCATCAATACCTGTGTGATTAGATGATATTGCTGCTACATAAACTGCAAGCGTCGAAGGAGAACGACCCGTATCAAGGAGAGACTGGAGAAACTCCAGAATGGTGGGTATTGTACAGGAGACTGGATCCTCATTGTGATCAGAACATCATTGGGAAAACAGACGCCACCTGTTTTCGTATTGCTGACGAGTAGAGGGTGCCCTGGCACCCAGGATGGTGCGTCTGACGGGGCTCAAAACTCCAGTCAGCTGCTATCTTAGCCTTGCAGTGGCCACACACACAGCCAAAGACGTTGAGGATTGGGATGCCATACCAGTCTCCCCAACTGAGGCAGCAAGTCCCTCCTGGTTGGAAGACACCATGGGACGCCCAGACATAGACTGCGTAGCAGTGGGAACCATGGTCATGCTGGCCAATATGGAGCCACCAACAGCATCCTGTGGCCCTCCTCGAGAACTCTCTGAAGGGTCGGCCAAATTAGAGAAAGGGGTGGGAAGGCATATAGGAGGACCTTTGGCCAAGGATGAGCCAATGCATCCTGGCCCAGCGCACCTGACCTGTAAGGGAGTACCATAGGGGACACTGAGTCGAATCTTCTGTCACAAACAGGTCTACTGCTGCCTGACCAAAATGGTCCCAGATCATTAGCACTATGTCGTTGTGGAGGGACCACTCTCCCAGAGCAGACCCCTGGTGGGAGAGAAAATATACGACCTGATTGTGTCGCCCTGGTAAGTATGCCGTCCGCAGGGTGGACAGGCGAGGAGAGGCCCATTCCAGGAGCTCTCTGGACCCTCTCAGAAGTTGTGCTGACTTGGTGCCCCCCTGGTGGTTGATGTGGTAGACAACAGAGGTGTTGTCTGACCGAACAGGAACATGCCCCACTTCAAAGTGGGGCAGGATGTACCTGAGTGCCAAATGCACTGCACGCAGCTCCAGCGCATTTACATGTGTGGAACGGTCCTTTCGACCCCAGCGGCCTTGAACCGCTCTACGTTGCCACACAGTGCCCCATCCCATGGAGCTGGCATCTGGCGTGACCACTTCCCTGCGACACAATACCACTCCCATGGGGACACCCCTGGACAAATAATCTTTGTCTCTCCATGGAGTCAGGGCGTGAAGACATGACCATGTCACTGCGAGCTTGCGATGCCTGTGCAGCCCGACATCCAGGCGAAAGCTGTTGAGCCACCTCTGCAAGGGGCGAAGTGACAGCAGGCCCAAGGGCACCACCCGAGTGACTAACGTCAGTTTGCAGAGTAGCTGCAGGAAGGCAACGTAGGGGAGCTGCCTGCCCAGCCTGAACCAACTGACCAGCTGGAGTATGCCGCCCACCCTTTGAGCGGATGGGCGAGCTATCGTGGAAGGTGAATCCAGAACCACCCCAAAAAAGGTGATCGTCTGGGAAGGGGTCAGGCAACTCTACTCCAGGTTGACTTTGAGGCCCAACTGGGACACATGAGCGAGCAGGCAGTTCGTGTCGCAAAAGGTACAGGCCCGAGACGGGGCGCACAGAAGCCAATCGTCTAGGTACGGCAGAACCTTCACTCCGTAGGCCTGCAGAGGAGAGAGGGCTGCCTTTATGTACTGAGTGAACACCCTCGGGGAAAGAGAGAGCCCGAATGAGAGTACCCGGAACTGACAGTGATGACACCGATAGGGAAACCTGAGAAAGTGGCAATGCTCTGCTGCAATAGGCACATGAGAATAAACATCTTTCAGATCTATAGACGTGAACCATTCTCCCCTCGTGACAGCTTGAAGGACCTCTGCTGTCATGAGCATGTGGGAGGGCAGCACCTTTAGGTACTTTTTGAGTCCCCTCAGAACTAAAATGGGATGAAACCCGCCATCCTGTTTGTACGAGGAAGTAAGTCGAGTAATAGCCTCTGGGTTGTTACAGAGGGTCCACTGCCTCGATTGCACCCTTGGCCAGGAAGGCGGAAAGCTCCTGGTCTAGTGCTTGAGCTTTCATCGGGTCTGCTATTACAGTCATCTTGACCCGGCGTGAGATGCGAGGCCACCGTCAGAACTGTAGCCGGTAACTATGGGTCAGAATGACAACCTCCCATTGGTTCACGGCGTGAGCAGCCTAGTAACTGAGCTGCTTGTGGGAGAAATATCCGACGGTTGGCCTGGTGGCATCACCGTCTCCCTCGACGGCCCCTAGGGGCCTTGGGGGGGGGGGCGACGACCAGAGTCCCTTGTCTGAGCCTGCCCAGCTGGTTGATGGACCGACTCACGAAAGCTCCTGTCGGGTCTCTGCTGAATCGCACGAGGGTAAAGACCACCCAGCCGATTATGACCCCGAGGTAACGGCCGAATGCTGGGGTCAGCCGACGGGTGCCGTGGATGCCTAGGAGGTGGAGGGGGCATCGCCCTGCTAAGGCTCAAAAGCTGCTACCTGGTCCGTCGTGCCTGGACGGTTCGTTCTAGGGCTTCCAAGGCAGCTGAACCGAACAACTCCCCTGGCACCACTGCTACATTACGGAGGGTTCTACGACATGGCTCAGTCAATGTTGACTGCGCCAACCAGACCTGTCGGCGAGCCTGGACCAAGAAGGCCATCACGCGCCCAAGTTCCCTCGTTATCAGTGCAAAGGCCTGAAGCGCTGCATCGCTAAAGTTCATTGCTGCTGTTGCATCACTAGTCCCCTGAAGGGACATGGAGAGGGCAAGCAAGAGGTGCGGCTTGGAATTGCCGAGGCTGCCAGCACGTGCTCCGGTGTAATAAGGTCTGTAGAGGAATTCATCAGTGACACGACACTGAGCTCATGGGCACCAAACATCACTGCGCAGAGCCTCCTCTGGTGACACGATGAGCGAGGCAACAGCAGGTTCGATCATCGGCATGCGATCCAAGCCCGCTGTAGCTGGCTCATGCATAGCCGCCAACGTTCGGCCAGCGGCGGAGAGGTGCGCAAATGCTTTTGGGTCCAGCCAACAACCATGCAACTCCCTCAGGTACTCTTCCGATGGAGGGATGGAAAAGGAAGGAGGGGCCCGTCTGCGCCTGAAGAAGACACTTCCAGGGGTGGACTCCTCTGGTTGCGGGACGTCCAGCTGCAGCTGCCTCAGGGCCATACACATGATGTCCTGAATCGAGCTGTCACCTGACCCACCAGCTGCGCTCCGAGACGAAGAAAGTGAACCAGTCTCTGAGACTCGAGATGACTGCCCCTCCTCCTCACTTAAAAAGTGAGAGGCAGAGGCAGCCAAGGATAACACATCCTCCTCCGCAGCCAGCTCAGGCATGGGTGGGGAGGAGAGTCTGGTTGCTGCCACTTGCTCAGCCCCCAGTTGGCATGCCTGAAATAGGGACTTCATCTCCGCCAATTCTGTGGACAGTTGCTCCACCCTTGTGGAGAGGCCCTGATCAGACTTGGCTCGCCTCTTCCTAGGAGGGGCCACAGCCTCAGACCGGTGCTTCGAGCACCTAGGTGGAGCCCCCTGCCCAGAAGGTGGGAGGTCACTGCCGAGATTGGGGCGAAATTGGGTCAGCCGAGCCACCCTCACAGCATGAGGCATAAAGCTACAGTTCATGCAGGGGTTCTCTGACAGGGCCTCCACCAGAGGGTTATGTCCAAGGCAGGTAGGACACAGGTCATGACCGTCATCTGCCTGGAGCACAGCCCCACAATCTGTGCAGCAGTGAGAGCCATCCATGCTCATTACTTTAGGCAGTTTATTCAAGTAAAAAAAACTGCAACTCAGCAAAAGGGCTAGCACCGCCAGACACATCCAAGATACAGGGTGAAAACAAAGACGAAAGGATAGGCCGAAAATTGGGAGAGGGGGCGTGCACGCTTGCCGTCACCAATTAACAAGGCAAAGAAACTTAGACAGGCTAACGCCGCTAGCTTGGCTGGTAAAAAGAGGACAATTGGGAGAGGGGGCGCGAACGCTTGCCTTCACCAATTAAGACAAGGCCAGAACTCAGAGAGGCCAGTACCACTAGCTCAGTGCAACCGTTTTTCAGGTTGGTGAAAATGACTGGGAGAGGGGGCGTGAACGCTAGCCTTCACCAAAGAAAACAAAGCCAGAAACTCAGCTGGCTACATAGTTAACAACTTCGGAGCACAGTCCAACCGTTTATGAGGTTGTTAAAAATGACTGGGGAGAGGATGTGCTAACGCTAGCCTTCACCAAAGAAAACAAGGCCAGAAACTCATCTAGCTACATAGCTACATTTCGGAGCACAGTCCAACCAACCACGCGGTTGGAGGTCTCCAGCAAACGTGAGCGGAGCGAATGCTACCGCTAACCAATGGCGAAATATAAGTAAAAAACACTACTCACCGGTGTTGAATCACACACTTAGTAGTCACGAACAAACTTTGGAGCACAGTCCAACCGACCACGTGGTTGGAGGTCTCCAACAAACGGGAGCTTAGCGAGCGCTACCACAAGCCAATGGCAAAATATAAGTAAAAAATGCTACTCACCAGTGTTGAATCATACACCTAGTAGTCATTAACAAACTTCGGAGCACAGTCCAACCGACAACGCGGTTAGAGGCCTCCAACAGACAGGAGCGGAGCGAACGCTACCACTAGCCAATGGCAAAATATAAGTGAAAAACACTGTTGAATGTTGAATGTGTGTTAAATCACACACATAGTAGTCAGACGCTGTAAGTTGGGAGGGGGGCGGAAACCGCCGTAGAACCCCAACGAACAGCAGAAATACCTTTGAACAAAGTTAAACCGTCGCAGCCCCTAGGAGGGCGAACACGCTACTCCCGCCAATGGGCAGTCAGGCCTACGATGACTGTAAAAGTTAAAAAATCCAAAGGGCTGAAGCCCTGAACTGAACCGCGCGCGAGAAGAAAAAAGGAGCAGAGCTGCAGATGACGTCAGGCTATATAGCCTCTGATTGGTCATCCATGTCACACCTGTGACTCCGTTGGTATTATTACTCGAACAGCGCATGTGTGAAGGGAACATTCAGTGCTTTCAGCACCGCCCTCTGGCGGTCAGGAGGGATGAAATAGAACTGTAAGACACATGACATCACATCAAATAAACAATAAAATACAGGAAATTAATAAAGATTAAAATAAAATAAGTTATTTACAATTGTTTAAAAGCCAAAGAAAATAGAATGGTTTTAAAGAGTTTTAAAAACAGATGATGAAAAGGATGGCAGCACAGTGGCTCAGCTGGTTGAGCTGCTGCCTCTCAGCAAGAAGGTCGTTGGATCAAATCCTGGTTAGGGGCCTTTCTGGGTGGAGTTTGCATGTTCTCTCCGTGCATGTGTGGGTTTTCTCCAGGTACTCCGGTTTCCTCCCACAGACCAAAAACATGCACGTTAGACTGATTGGTAACTCTAAATTGTCTCTAGGTGTGAGTGAGAGAGTGAATGGTTGTTTGTCTCATTTGTCTCTATGTGTCCCTGTGATGGACTGGAAACCTGTCCAGGTGTCCCTGTGATGGACTGGAGACTTGTCTGGAGTGTCCCCCACATCTCTCACTGTGACTGCTGGATATGGACACCAGTGACCCAAACAAAAAGAAGCAGGTAATGGTGATGGATGATGAAGAGGCTTTTTTGTGTTCAGATGGAGGGGCAGCTTGTTCCACAAGTTGGGAGCTGCTGTAGCAAAAACTCAACACCCCCACCCCCAGCTGGAGTCTGGTTTTCAGGACGTGCAGGAGCTGGTCAGCTGATGTGAGTGAGGGGTGGTGGGGTTTGTAGGGATGCTATGGGGGGGGGGGGGGGGGGC